TGCTACCACTGATGATGTTACCTAGTGGGGTAATAAAATGTTTGCAAGTTAAAGATTATAATCCGTCCCCTCCCGAATGATGAATGAATGTTGCTTCTAGTTTTAATTACGTATTGTCTTTATATGTCATTGTGTGTACTCCCTTCCCTATACGTTGTAAGCCGCCCTGAGTCCCCTCAGGGAAAAGGGCGGCCTATAAATAAATTTATCTAATCTAATCTAATCTAACCACTGCAGAATCAAACCCAGCAGCACTGACAAAAGTGAAGGGGCGCTGAATACTTTCTGGATGCACTGAATATACATCTGTGTATTTCCAGCCTCTGCATAGCTGGAATTTCCAACTTTGCAAACCAGGGAAGTTGTGCATCAAAAAAAATAAAATAAAAAATAAAAAAAATAGCAAGCCTGTTTCAAATCCACTGCACGAAATAATCCATGCTTTCATTATGCAACTAGGGGTTTGTTTATAGTGAAGACACCCACTGGGAAGGGGGCCAAAACCCTATAGTGTTATCCCTCCGGAAAAATTAAAGCAGCTGTGGTAATGTAATTCAAAACCTCTCAAGTTTGCAGCGAGAGCTTGTACTCCTTTAGTATAGCATGAGTGTTGGGTAACACAAGTCCTCTGAAGGATGGTTTTTGCCCACTGCAGCATGAGAAGGAAAAGCGAAATGGAGACCTGGAGGCAGCCTGAAATATCCAGAGACAGGAGCTTGTGACATCCTCTTCCATTCCCGAGGTAGTGTAACCCTTTGTCTGTGAAGTTTCTGCAGTAAGCGAGGCTTAAAAACTGGAGATTGGGGAAGCACCTTGATCGGAAGGAAAGAGAGAGAGAGAGAGAGAAGTGGGAGAAAAAACAGCTTTTGCTATATTCTGATGCAATCTGATACTCTTCATTGGAAGACTTTTTAACAACCGGAAAGGATGCTAAGACTTTAATGGGCTTTTTTCTCCCCCTCCCCTCAAAATACTTCTTTTTTTTCTTTATGCTTAAACTGCTTTTTTAAAAACAAAACAAAACACAACAATGCTATAATCCTGCACACGTTGCTGTTCAGAAACAGCAGAGTTTTTGAGCAAATATATATATATGCCTAAATGTGCTGGAAAGGGTCATGAAATCGGGACGGGAAAGTTACTTTTAAGTTTGGCCCCGAACCAAAAACGCGTCCTAAAATTAGAAACGCATGAATCACCCGGCGATTTCGGGGATAGAGTTGTAACGTTAACTTGACGAGGGCACTGCGAAATATAACGGCAGTCTGAAAACCAGACCTAAATCAAAAGAAATAAGAAAGCACGCAGAAAAATTAAAGCCCTTTTCTGTAGCTGCACAGCCTCGAAGAAGGCGACTCTTAATAACTATGCAATCGTGTAAGATTAAATTACATTGAAATTATGGAAGGCTGAATTAAATGCTGTGGATGTTATCTAGAAGTACGTCCCACTGCTTGTGGCGAGTTTTATTGCTGAATCAACGTATATGTAAACCTCGCGGGGAGTGACATCTGCAGAAAAGAAGGGCTGTAATCAAATGGGAAACAGTGTAGATAAAATTGGACAACATACAAGGGAAACATTGAGTTCCTAGACACTAACCCTTCTACAACTGGTTGCATTTATTTTTACACTCCAGATATAGGCGCTCCCATGCTGAAAACTATTGATTTGATGCAATTATGGTGTAGCTTGGGAGGGAAAAAATTACAACCCCACAATAACCAGAAATGAAAGCTTGCAAAAAGTTAATCACCATCTATTATTAGGAGTAAAAGACATTGTGTTCTTTAATGGATTTTATCCATTATCCACAACGTTTTATGGCAATTTCATCCAGTCAGCAAAAGCTAAATCAAAATAAACCAAAAGCCGAAAGAGATTGGACAACTAATTGTTTGCAGTGGTATAGAGTACTCCTGCTCGAGCAGGGGGTTGGACTAGAAGACCTCCCAAGTCCCTTCCAATTCTATTATTCTATGTTCTATAAATCAGAGGAAGTAAAAATCATCCAAAATGAAGAAAGCATGGACATCATTAGGTGAAGATTTTTTCCCCCTTTCTTTAAAATGAGAACACAACTCAGATGCAAAGCTTAAAATTGATTACGTCGTACCATGTTTCTCCAAAAATAAGACAGGGTCTTATTTTGTTTTGATCCCCCGAAATAAGCGCTTGGGCTTATTTTCGGGGAGGTCTTATTATTTTTGAGGTGCAGGAGGCGGCGAGCGTGGTCACCTAATGGCTGCTGCCGGGTTGCAAAATTTCCAGGGAGGGCTTATTTTTGGAGGAGGGTTCACTTTAGCGCATGCGTTCAAAAGCCCGATTGGGCTTATTATCCGGGGAGCAGTGATGGATTCCTACCGGTTCGGACCGGTTCGGATTGGCTTGGGCGAACTGGTAGTAGTTTGGCAGCCTGAGTCGCTGGAACCTGCCACGCCTCTGAACCGGTTCTCCGGGCACCACCGTAAACACCGCCATCTTGATTTTTGCTTCTGCTACTGCGCAGAACAATTTTTATTGCACCGCGGAGCACCCATGAGCGAACCGGCAGTAGTGACTGCCAGAACCCACCCCTGCCAGGGAGGTCTTATTTTGGGGGGAACCAAGTAGTTAAATGTAAAGTAGCACTTATGTAAAACTACATGAAAGTAAAAATGTAAATAACATTAGGGCAAAAGTCATTGTAAGAAAGTCATCGATATGATTATAATATTGTACATACTTGCCTTACACTAAGATTATTTTAAAATTTCACAACTGTATTTTTGCACGCGCACTTCGATATGTTTATAAAGTTACAACCTGTTGGAGATACTTCTTTAATGACTATTCAGGAAACATGTTACTCCCTAGAACTGAGCTTTATTCTCTACAGTAACACTAAATCTGGCTGGCTATATGAGCTGCCAACATACAGGTAGTCTTCGACTTACAACAGTTCATTTAGTGACCGTTCAAAGTTACAACGGCACTGAAGAAAGCGACTTACGACCGTTTCCTACACTTATGACCATTGAAGCATTACCATAGTTCTGTCATTTGCATTCATATACCTGTAGACCTCCACTGCGTCACCACAACTGAATCCAACGGTTTGGTTGCTAAGTGAGACAGTTGAAG